GTAGTGAATTGACCGTTATTCCACTGTTCGCTGTTGTCTTTCGTCCCTTGTCCCTTTGCCTCTGTAGCGTATCCACCCACACGTGGCACCGGCAGTGGCATCCTCTCTGCTGCTGCACATGTACAGATGCAGGAGAGTACCAGTAGCAAGGTTAACAATAGAGTTGTGCGCATGGTGATTGTGTAGCTGTGTTCTTTCATTTATGGTGCGTCATGTTATGAAGGAGCAGAAACAGAGAGCAAGAATTTATTATTAATAATATAGTTGTTAGAATGGCAAATATAAACAAGTAGGTTTATTATTAAAATCCAAATTACGTATCCACTGTTAAGTATTAATAAAGAACAAATGTGATCATTATTGTATACATGTTTCTTTATCTGGTTCTAACACTACATCGTGCATTGTAGTAAAGAATAAAATTCAAATAGTTATGTGAAGTTTTACCGTTTGAGCAGAATAGGTATATAAAGGAAGGTATTTTCCGTTATGAAAGATTAGATGAAGATAGAACAATAGTATTAACAATGATATCCATTGGTGTCATCTATAAACACATCATTATCATCTTTTCACTGCATGGTGGTGAACTCTTGTTTTGGGGATTATTGGTGGGACATCATTACTGCAGTTAGTGCCACACAGTGATGAAAATCAAGTGGTTTCACTAATTAACTACATTACTACGGACTGGGGGTATAACTCATGTAGGTACACACAGTCCTGCCCATTAAGAACTTAGTCGTAATAAAGTAATTGCAACACTATTAACTCTCATTTCTTCCTTTCCATTTCTTCTATCCACTACGTAGACATTTAAAGAGTTGCAGTATCAGTGTTTCCCTCTTTTCACTATTCATGCCCTTCACCAACAGCCATATCACAGTTAGAATAGACACATACGTAACATGTACGCCATCCTTGCTATCTTCACTATCAGTCGATATATCTTCAATTGACAGGAGTGAAAGAAGAAAAAGAACAGGAGATTACATATGGGGAATAGAAATCATTCTTTAAAAGGTACACGAAAATTTTACATAGCGGATAGTGAGGAAAAGAGAAATAAAAAAGATAAACCGATTAGTTATGCTCAAACTGCGTACGAAGAAGATGTAAATAAAAAGAGAATAAATAAATAATTAATAACAATATATGATATACAACGTTCAGTTAATTATTATCAATTCATTCCCTGCAGTGCAACATACATTAAAAGGACATCACAAATGAACCACAATAATAACAGTGATTACTACTCACAAAACAAAGTATAGGATTGTACATGGAGATTGAGTACTATCATCTCCAACTACTTCAGATACCACTATGGGGTGTTGGATCGCAAACATAAAAAAAAAAGCAAACAAATGTATAAAACAAACAATAGTGAATTAGAGTATTATAGATTCAGTTATCTGTTAAGGGTGTCTTACAACAACACTACCCACCATCGCAAAGATTCTCTATTAAACCTTTACTTCTCTCAACTATTAATTAAATTGATGGATGCAGTAACATTGTATACCTCCTCCTCGACTACTACTGCTTCTACTGTTGGTGGTTCTATTGGTAGATCCATGCAGACCTCACTGTATGGAGGACACACAATGCGGCCACTACTAAAGGCTGAAGTAACAGACGGTGAAATACTACTGCCCTCCTTACATTCATACCAATCATCATCCCCTTTATACTGTACACTCACTTTCCCACCCTCACACTTCACATTTGCACAGATATCTCCAATGATTGAATGAATATCAATAGTAGACACATCAC